AAATTATCCTTTTAATTTACACCTTTTCACGTTCTGTTGTTACTATTTGTCTTAATTAGCATTTTTGCCTGCTTATTATTCAACTTGCTTTGTAATCATTCATTCAACTGAAGATGACAGAAGTTCTGTCGAAACATGTCTTTTAAACTTAAAAAATTGGTTGTTTTCCTTAAAATCTTTACATGTCTGCTGCTATCTAGACCTTTTGAACGATTTCTGTATGAAAACTGCGTCATTCTTTATCCGATGTGTCTGCTTTTCTGTGCACTTTGACATCTCCTGAGAGTAAAGGCGAGTTTTCAGGGCTCGGTTCTGAACCTGAAGCGAATTTCTGTCCATCCACGTCTTCATAAAGATCACGTTTTAAGGCTGGCAGGAGCTGATCCAAGATGCCGCACACGTAATGAATGAACTCTGCCTCAGTGTGACGGTTTCCATAGAGCTCAAATGGTTCGGGGTCTCTATCCTCCTTGCGGCTTTGTCTGAGTACATCAAAATTTCAGTACATCAAGTACGTCAAAATTTATCATTACCACATTTTGACATCAACTGTGATCTGTTAAGCCTTGTTCACACCAGGGACATAACGACATCGACATAACGACCTAAGGAAAAGATCAGTTTTATCTCTATGTCGTTATGTTCATGCTGTTATGTTGCTAATATGTCATTATGTCTGTTTACACTACAAACATAACGTCCTTTTTACGTCGAGATTACGGCCTTTTTATGTCGTTCGTGACGATGTCGTAATGTCGCTAGTGTGAACCAGGCCTTAGACCCAGTTCACACTAACGACATAACGACATAGCCATCAGTAAACGACATAAAAAGGACGTTACGTCGTCATGTTCAGTTGCAGTGTGAACATCCTGACATAATGACACAACAGCAACGTAACAGCATGAACATAACGCATAAGAAAAAAAAAATTAATCTTTTCAGGATGCTTTTATGTCGATGTTCACATTGAGACATACGCTATTATGCTGTTATGTTATATATTAAACAATTAGATTATGAGCTTCGAGATTTCAACTATCACGCATAGAAATCGAGAGTGAATGATCTAGTTGTTTTAGCATAAAACTACTAGTCGTTCAAAACTTTATCTAATTCCTCTTCACAGACACTCACGCGAAAACACCAAAAAGCGGCCTTCATTTTGTGAACAAGCGCACACTGCTACGCTACTCACTATCTATCACGGAATAGATAGTGAGCGTAGCCAATCAGAGAACGGCATTCGTGATAGAACGCTAGTAGATTTATACTAAACGCCGCTATGTCGCTAGTGTACAACACGCCGACATGGAATCTCTTCACGTAGGGGCCAAACCACCCCCTTAATGTTTCATGAAGGCTATATTTGCTTGGTTTATATATTTCTGAACCAATTTTGGCAGATGAGCTTTCTTTGTTCTCTAGTTTATTTCAATTTAGAAGTTGTGACAAAATGTCAGGTTATGACGTCATAATTGATGACGTCACCAAAAAGTGCTATAATTTTTTATAAAATCTGATGTAAAGATTATGTCATTGGAAAGGCCTTGACTTGAGGAGTAAAATGCCGGAAACCGTTTTTTGCTACGATGATTATTTTTTGAGATATGGTAAATTAAATATTTTTTTGCTGTCCCCCCCGGAATTTGCTTAACCATACTGTCCTTCTTAAGTCAGTCTCTCTG